GGAAGCGTCTAACTACAGTCGTCGAAAGGGAAGGCAATTTTTTGAATAAATTTACTTACAACTTCCATATGTTGCGAAAGAAAATAAATCGCACAAAATTCATTGCTAGAATAACTAACTGGTGTATTTTTTCTCAAATATGCCATTTACTGCGAAAATTCGTCACGCACCCTGTACTTCTAATTTATTTGATATCAACATCAATAAAAATCCACGGGAAGCTCACTAAACAGCTTAACGTAGTCTACTTCAACCTACGTGGGGTTGCGTTTTGTGCACAGCTCCAGTATTGTTTTCTAATTCAGTTATTTTTGCTATTCTGAATATATTTGCCATATAAATTTCTATACATATTTATAAAAAAAAGCAATAGAACCCATCATTATCAAAATCCCATAAAATCTATTGCAGCTACCATATATACTAGACTGAGGCAAAATTTGAAATGTTTGCTCTACAGTACTTATACGGTTCCACATTGGGTCCTATAAAGAGGAAAAAGTTGAACTCATTTAGTAAGAAACTGACTTATGATAAGCCACTTGAATTTATATGGAAATTACTATGGGAAATCCTATTTTCTTATTCTTATCTTGCTAACAACTCACCATATCGGTTTACATGATAGCTGTGATCGTAACAAATTTTCTCAGCTACAACTTGTCGAAGACCACTTTTCGATAACATTTAAGGAACACTAGTTAATAAAATATCTAACCACTAATGTCTTATGATCATGCTCAATCATCTGTTCAGTTAGACAACATTGGTTTCTGGGTTTCTTACCAAATGAGTTCAAATTTTGAGAGGCTAATCAGGATATAATTTGGAATCGTTTTAACACTATGGAGCGATAATTTCAAATATTGCTCTTCGTCGACTTTCTCTTTTGATAACCAGGGCTATGCAAACAGCTTTCTTGCTATTTTTGCCACATAGCATGATTTCTTTTTTTTTTGTATTAGTTTATTTGTACAGGCTCAATCGGATAAGCTTTACAGAGCCAAGTTATCATTTGCGTTATACATAATTGATGTCTTAAATCTAAAAGGAATTGAACCAACTACTCGCGGTCGCCTCGAGGTTAGTAAAGATTTACAGTTTTATGGATGGGGAGAGGGAGAAGGAGGTACATAGCATGATAAAAGAGGTTTTTATCGATCGTCCAAATCGTCAAATACAACAGGGAATGTTGTTGAAGCTGAGTTATTAATGAAAGAGAATGTCGATGAAGAGAATCGATCATAGTAGATAGGCCCTTTTTCCAGCTCTGTATAGAAATGGTTGTTATTAATGATAGCAACTACGGGTGTTCGGACAGGAAGTGAACATGTCTACATATGATCTGATTGGCTACACCTTCGATCAATAGCTGGGAGGAGGAGGAGGAGTTCTGCAGCTACGTATAAATTCAGTCATTCTTTGATAAATCATGGTACCGTCCGAAAAGCAAATACAATATAGTTTGAGTTTATCCGTGACTTTCCTTCAAGTGTTCTTGACCACTCAACGGATATTGGTAAGTTTTTGTCGAATTGCATTCCCCAATATAGTTAAATTGTGTTATTCAACAGAAAATGTCAAATGTTGAGAAATCGAAGCGTAAGAATTTGACCCTGAGTGAGAAATTGGACTTAATCCAGCAGTTTTAGAACAAAACTTGTTCCAACGCAATCCTTGCGAGGAAATATGGTGTGAATCGAGCTTCCTTAAGAAAAATTAAAGTGGAGAAAGAACGGTTGCAGCAAACTTCCTCAGAGAGAGGCATCAGGAACTGCAAAGTTAAATATGTAGCATCCGGTAAATATCGTCAGATGGAGCAGGCCTTATTCTATTGGTTTATCCAAATGCGTGATAAACACCAAACTATCACAAACAATTGGCATTGTGGCAAAAGCCAAGATCTACGCGAAGAAACTTGCAATTGAGCCGAGTTTTAGGGTTGGACGCTTGAAAATGTGCGGTGAAAAGTTATCAAGCGATGTGGACAGTGTGCCTTAAGGCTGTTATTATTTCGTATTGTTACCGAAAACAAATGTACGGCTGATTGAGTCCGCACTCTTCGTTTCATGACCATACTCTCGTTCATAGCGATGCTAGCTCAGCACCAGGTTTCAATCGGGCTAAAGAACGCGTTACGTTTATGCCATGAGCCAACGCTTCGGGAACTCATAAATTGCCAATGATGATGATTGGAAAACCAAATCCTCCTTGAGTTTGTAAAAATGTCCAGATTCTTGTTCAATATACGTCATCCAAGAATACTTGGAATATACATAGAAATTATCACCGACTTCGGTAATTTTTACCGAAATCTGAATTTTGCTTTTCAGCTACTTCCCAAGTAACATTGCAAGCTTTATAGAGCATTCTACAAGTCCAAATCATGGTCTACAGAACCCTCATAAAACCAACATTGTTGCTCGGGTTTGAAACTAAATCTCCACTAAAATGACAAGATTTGATCATTTAAGCAAGGTTGAACATGTTTTGAAATTATTTTCAAGTTCAGGTCAAAGTGAAGGTCAAAGTTTTACCGTGAACGTATTCTGATTTCAGTAAAATTTACCGAACACGAAAACAAAATCTTAGTGTGCAACTCAAACGGATTAACTTGAAAGATGTAAGCTGGCTCCAAGAAGCTCGGTTGGATGTTTCAAAAGTAGCAATTCAACGATCATGGGCCAATGCTGCACGAAGACGACGTTCAGCTTGCCGTATTATTCAACTCTCAGAGGAACAACGACGCTATACAAATTGAGGATTATCCCGAGAAGGAATCATTCTTGAACGCCGACATAACCGCTCTGAATTGCTGTGATGAAAATGAAATCAAAGCACAAGAAAACGATGAAACAGATCATGACGAAACACAGGACATCAATGAAGATTTGTCTCCTAAAGAAGTCGAATCTATTGAGCAAACCACCATTGATTCGCACTCAGCGGGTTATTCAGCACCTGGCACGTGGATTGAGTGTGCGAACATTAAAGAATCTCCTTCCAGAAACTTGATTGAACAATTGATCAAAAATACGAGCGTTCAAACAGGAAGATGCCCAAGCGAGTAGGGAGAAGAGCTCGCCCTTTGTACACGAAATTTTATCAACAGGGAGTTGGCATTCCCACTCTCCTCATCCAAATCTTTTCAATCGGGTGCCCTGATGGTCCTTCCCAATCCCAGGATTGTTTTATGTTTATATATGAGCAGTAACAAAAATTTAAAATTTAAAGCGATCTCCAACTTTCGCTGTTTTTTTCACCCTTCTGCCCAATTTTCGTGCCTATTTGTGAGCTCGTTGTCCTTCTCTGCATCACTGCTAGTCGCTACTATGTTCCCGAAAGTCTTCTATGTTATTTCTGATGTGTTCTACGACACTCTGTACGATATCAAGGGCAATACCCTAAGGTACAATATAGAACCATATACTACTATCAAAGATACCCGCATTATCAAAGATACCTCATTTTACGGTACCTAGATTCATGTGGTACCGCTTAATTTCTCGCGTGCGGTCGTTTGTAGCAGTTTTATAATCTCGCGGATAAATGCTTTCATGTTAGCCCTCCATTCCACTTCTGGGCAGTGAGAGTGGTGATGATGTGACGAGAGTGAAACTTTTCGCTTGTTTTACCCGTTACCAGTGTAACGACGTGGAAATGAGAAATGATGGGCTTCTATTTCACACCCGTTCTTCCGGAGCTTTGATAGCACCAGACTTGAGTGTCGAAAAATGAGGCTATGATTATTTTTTTCGACGTTGGGAAATTTTGTAAAAAGCTTTAGTTTGTAAGTTTTGTACACAGTTTCAGTTTTTGTTATGTTTACATCATTTTCTTCAATAATCACAATATCATCAATTCGCTGTGACGAGGAGCTTCGGTGACATATTTATGTTTTTGATCGTGATTTGAATCCCTGATCACCTGTTGTAAATTTAAGCCAATGTTAAGATGGAATGTGTAAGTTTGAACTAAATATATCTGAAGACGAGATTGATGGTACCCTAGACAAGACAATGTCAAAACATTCCAACTGAATAATGTCACGCCACATGTAGATAATTATCTGATCCAGTAACACTTCCGCATACCCTCATTCAAGAGATCGTTATAGATGGATGCCCTCGTCCAGTACAGTATCTACCTCTAATGCAACACGATTCACCCAATTCCGTCCTTTTCGATTCGTTTGTTTTTATTATGTCATTAAGCTAGTCGAATGCTTCCGCAAACGCTGGTGTCGCTTCCACTGAACTTGAAGTCAATCACAATACTCGGTCTCGTCACCAGTGCACCATCATTTGCGGCAACGAGGGAGGCTTTCATAAATTAGATAATTCACAACCATTTAGTTGCACGTAAATTCCGTGCAAGTTTCACGCATTCATTTATGTTAGGGTACAGCTAGTTAGGCAGCGACCCAAGCGACAAGGGCTATTGAAAGCATAATTTCCTAGAAAACTTGGTTTCTAGTTTCTGATCGGTTTCACTATTGCTCCTGCTTGACTGCGTGACTATCGGCAAAGACGCCATGGTCCGTCGTTCCACAGGGTGGTGGAGAAAAAACGCCCGGTTGCATATCTGGCACTGCCATCGATTTTCTACCAAAGTGTCGTGGCCGACGCTGGCAGGGGTAGGCAAGCGGGAGGATAATTTTGCCATCGCAGCCACTCGGCTACCACCGACCGTGTGTTACCTTGTCAGATCATTACGCGGACAAACCCAGACGTCTGTAGCTGGAGCTCATAGACTGGGTTATTATTTGTCATCGGCATCATCATTAAGTCAATGGTCTTCATGGCCCCATCATGACTCTGTGTGAATGTGCCGGTGGCCACCGGAGATATCATTGCACTTACCGAGTAATGGAACTTTTATGACGATTGTTCTCGCATTACAGTTTGATTGTTGGGTTGGTGGTTCCGGTGTTAGGAGACGATGGAAAACTTGCAGTTTGGTGCACTTTTTGATGAGGGAGGTGTGCTTTTCGTGCTTACCTTGTGGACTATAGATCTTCACGGTGTCTGTAAAAAAAAGAAACGTAGCAATTAGTTATGTTTTACTTGAAGAGGGTCATGAACTCTTGATAACCCTAAGATCGTTAACCTAGAATTGAATGTACCTAGATTGATTAGTTATACTGTGAGATCTTGATTTTAGCGGCATGACACTATGGTCTTTCATATAAAAATACCCAACTCTTTATTTTTCAACTCAATGTTTCATATTTTAGTCAGTTCAGAAGCATTACATCTCTGATCACGCCTTCCTTCGGAAGGGAAGTAAAGCCGTTGGTCCCCGGTTCTTGAGTTGATGGGTCGATAGGTAGAGTCCAGGTGTGGGAACTGCCTCCCTGGCGTCGGTAGAATTGGTGCTCAGCACGGAAAGCAAGATTGACGGAAAACAAATCAAGGAAAAAATCCACTTAAATGCCCACATTCATCAGGATTGGCCTTAGACATCATTTTGATTAGAAGAATATTCAAAATGACCAAATTTACGCAAAAATATGAATCATGGCCCATAACAAACAACTATGCAAAGTTTTGTATAGATTGGAGAAGGTCAAGTTAATCCGATTTGTCATTTGGCATGGAACTGCACTATTTTAAGATCATTGAGGAAATGCAATGCCATTTTTACGATTAATGAGATAATTGTTTTGGTTATTTCGGTACTATTCAATTTTTTAATTTAGAACTATTTTTACGTATTCCGGCCATTTTGTAGATTGCAACAACATGTGGCATTCAAAAGTCAGTTTGGAAAATGTATTGTTGACTTTGATGGGCCGTTTAAAGCGTCTTTAGGACCACTATGATCAGGCCTGTCAAAGTGGTTACCAATGGTTACTTCAAGTGTAACCAGCTCCGAAAACCGATTATTATTTATTCCTTAAATAACATTAATTGGGCACAAAAATATCAGACAACCTGCGCTCCTCTTTTAGGTTGAACACGAAAAAAGCCCTGTTTTCACTTGTTTGGCTGCCAAATTCCATTTCCGCTTGCAATTCTTTAGGTCAATTGCAGTCCCACCCTTTTTCTTCAATATGTTCTACACAATTGAGCAGTATTCCCATGGGGTGCGACACATCTAAATCTCAATTTAAGATCGTCCTCAAATCTCACGATAGCGAATCAATCTACGAAAAATCTTTTTTCATCTCTTGCATCTAAATCCATCTACTTGCATCGCTCTCCACCATTTTGCAGGAAATCTTCAAAATCTTCATCAATATTCCAGCTATCTAATAAGTGTACGCGCATCTCACAACAGCAAAGCAACCATTTTCCTGCATCTTAGATAGAGTCACTCCCCTCGAGTATTCCTCAATTGGGCTTAGTTCTGCAATATTGGCCGGATTCATTTCTTTGGGACCAATGTGACGCCATGTTTGCTGTACCACCATAGAGGTAACTCTAAGACCACTGGGTCCCGAAGAAAATCATTATTATTTTTGGCTCACTCAGTACCAGAACAACGGTCCCAAGCAGTCCCAAGCTATTTCACTCACCCCTGCATGTTCTGCATGAATCCACACACCCCTGATGTTATCTGTCAAACTTTCATAGCGAATCAAAACAAACATAGTGTAGTAATAGAATTTCAACTAGAGTAGGGTACGTTAATCGTTTGCTTGGGACCAATAGGCTACTAAAGTGGTGAGCCAATTTAAAATCGTTAGTTTCGTATTGATTGTTGGTACCACTGTGTGGTGGAATTTGAGCAGTGACAGCTTGTCAAGTGCTGCCAGAATAGGCAATCCAGCTCATGCTGTTCCAGAAAAGACAGCAGTCTCTTTCGTAGGCACTCCTCGTGGTAAATTTGCTGCTTCATGGTCTCAGAAGTAACGCAAATTTTGCTTTTCAGCCCACAACTGCAGATTGCTTGCCAGACAAGGAACTTTTTTTTTGGGAATCTCGACTTCTTTTTATTTAACATTCTTCCGGTCAACCGAGATATAAAATTCCTGCCCAGAAATTTGATCAAAAACTTAGAAGAAGCGGAAAGACTGGGATTTTCATTTCGACCGTGCAAGATCGAATCGCGACGTTCTTGCTCCGGTAAAGCCATGATGTAAACAAATCAACTTATCCTGACAACCAATGCCTACTGTGATTCTAAACACTCTTAGCTTGATTTGTGAAATTTTGAAATGGCAGCGTTTTTAATTTATCAGGATTTTTTCGTGTTCCACCTTTATAAAAACAACGCACCAACATGTATAAGGAGATTGTTGGTCACCCATCCTGATTAATATGCGCTCATATGAGCGTAATTGCGCTGCGAACATACACCATGAGCAATTTTCTGTCGTCATCCAGATTCAATTTGCACCTCTAGATGTGGATTGAAAATATTCCAAACGCAGAAACAAACATTAGAAACAAAATCTTCCTACAAATGTGCCTTAAAATATGTGACCACATGAGATATAAAATTTGTCAGGTACAAATTATTTGGTTTTATTTAGGCCGCCTTATGTGCATATGTGCTCAAATTTCTGATAGCTTCAGGACAGCTCTAAAGATTTCGGGACCATTATTTTCAGTGAAGAACATCGAGCTTCAGGGCAGTTCCATTAACTGCAGGAAAACTGCAAAACAATTTCTGTAAACCTTGCGACAGTTCTGAAATCTTCACGGCAGTTTCATGAATATCTTCAAAAATGCGGTAACTTTAGAGAAGTTCCGAAAACTTTAGGTAAATTTTTAGAAGCTAAGGACAATTCCCTTAATGTCAGGAAAATAACGGAAACCATCAATCAAATTTAAGGATAGTCCAAATAACGTCAATTCACCTTAGTAAACTTAAGAAAAATTTCGGGAACTTAATGGAAGATCCCAATATTCACGGAAGTCCAGGAGAATAGCGAGAGCTTCAGGGAAGTTCCATGAATATCTGAAAAGATTAGAGATCTTTAGGATAGTACCATTAACTTCACAAAACTGGTAGGAACTTTAAACAAATTCTGGGAAATGGAAAGCAATGCCTTTTCAAGTAGTTCAGAGAACTTAGGTCTAGAAATTTTATGTGCTTTTCAGAGATCCTATGGATGTTTTTCAATGATTTAAGGTAAGTTACAAAGACTTTATGAAAGTTCACATCAATTCCAATAAATTCAAGACAGATCCATTAACTTCTGGAAGATTTCTGAGACTGCAAAGAAGATCCGGAAATTTCAGGAACGTACAGATAGCTTCAGAGAACTCCAAAAAACTTAAAAAAAAACATCCGTAATAAGCTTCGCAGAAGTTCAGAGAACATCAAAGAAGTTTAAAGGGTTTTCAGGACAGTTCCATTCATTTAAAAGATCTTCAGGAGATTCGAGAGAACTTCAGGGAAGCTCTGAGAACATCAGAACCAGGCTTAAACATGCTTATTACAGCTAAAATGCTTCTTTTCGAAATAATGAAACTATGAGATGGAGTAAATGGCTCTAATGTTGGCCTATGGATCTAAGATTGGGCCCATCGCTAAAAATCTGCTATATCAATTTTATATAGATGAACGCGTCACCGAGACGGTACTAATGAATATTTTTCATCGCTATTGAAAATTCAGTCGATTACTGAATTTATGTATGGGTCCAAATTAAGGGCATTTAGGCCGACATTACTTCCATTTCCCCTATTATAATAAAAATTGGTAAATGTAAGATGCAACAAGATGAGGTAAAGCTTGTGTATGACAATAAAATGTGTCAACTTTGCTTCCAGAGTTTCACAATAAGCTTTTTAAGCTGCAATGAATGATCCTGATGAGTCGTCATAGCTCCTGTTCTGGCTTATTACATATAAAAATAATTGTTATAATATCTCATAGTATCATGATTTCGAAAAGTAGCATTCAAGCTACAATGGACATGTTCAAGCCTGATCAGGACAGGTCCGAGAAACTAAGGGCAGTTTAATTAATTTCAAGGATATTTCTGGAACTTTGAAGTGGTGATCCAGAATTTAAAAAATCTTCCGCAACGTTCCGAGGGCTTCAGGAAAATGGCGTAAACCCTTGGCATGTTACATCAGGATAAGGTGAGAACATTTAAGGGAAGTTCTGTGTAATTCATGGCAGTTTTGACCCCACCGATCCAACAATCGTGAAATCCGCTTCCGCGTAGCTCGAGCCATCATCGACAGTCGCCTACTGTACGGTGTAGAGATTACATCCCTTGTCACTGAGAAAGCCGTCCAGATTATGGAATCGGTGTACAACGGCTACGTTCAAACAGTCTCCGGTCTCCTGCACTCTACCCCGGCCGACACTGCATGCGTTGAAGCCGGTATCCTACGCTAAAAAGTCGGGAAACAACAGGATCATTCTCCTCGACGAGGCGAACCGACTCCTCCACACGGCCGCCGACGTAGATCTTCCTCCAGTGGCCAGGGTCCACTGGCACGGAGGCAAAAGTTGGCAATCGCACAGGATCAAAATTGACAGCCGAATCCAGGACCGCATCAGGGTAGGAGACAACTCGCTGGCTTTACGCCGGACAGTTGTCGAAACTCTCGGGGCGCACTACCAAGGTAATGAAGTTAGGTACACCGACGGCTCTCTCTCCAGAAGCGGAGTGGGAATGGGTGTCTCCGAAGATGATCTGCTTAAGAGCAGATCGCTCCCGACCCAATGCTCGGTGTTCTCAGCTGTGGCAGCGGCCATTCTCCACACGGTTAAGTTACCGGCCGATATTAGTCGTAACTGACTCACACAGCGTGATATTGGCCCTTAAAACAGAAACACCGAATCATCCGTGGACCCAAGGAACGGTAAAGCGCGCGCCGCCCAACACAGTATTCATGTGGGTACCCGGTCACTGCAGGATCCAAGGGAACGTGATAGCCAACCACCTCGCCGGCTCAGGTCAGACCGGACCCAGGTCCACCGGCAATGTACCGCTCCAAGATGTCAAAAAGTGGATCAAGCCGACGATTCGGAGAGCCTGGGACACCGAGTCGAGTAACAACAGGACACACCACCTTCGGAAGGATTGACAAAACCTACGAGAACAACGAGTGGTGTC